TAACATACTTCTTGGTAGACTTGCGTACTTCCAAGAATAAAATTATGAATCGTGAATGTAAAGGCAATGATAATAAATTGAGAAATGTTTTGTGTAGGGCGCGCAGAAAATATCATTGCCGTATTCGGCGAACAAAACCATGACTATCAGACAAATTCTCAGGTAACTATCTCTATGTCCATGAACCGTGAAGAATACGAGTAATCTATTATTTATTGACGTTTCAGCAATTTCTTCAGTCTGGAGAAACTCGACAAGGCGCCGCGAGAAGTCTTCACGCCCGAGCTGCAAAAGGTACGTTTACAATGGGTCTCATGACCGTTTCACGCTCGGGGATGTGGCGTCATAAAGGAGGTACGGATTAATTCAATGATCCTTCGCAGGATCTATTACTGCTGGAGGAACAGGAAGGCTCGGTGAACTTCAAGTTTGGCGTAATCTACGCGAGGGAGGGACAGACCACCGACGACGAGATGTTGTCTAACGGTAAGCCCCGCGTCGGAAGTGTCGGCGAAAACAAAAGACAAGTCTATAAAGTGGGGATGGGAAATTAAGTGACAATAGATAGCATTATCGATCCCTGAGGAAACGTTTCTCATTGCTCGCAGAGAGAGGTAGCCCGGGCTTCGAGAGCTTCCCGGAGATCCTAGGTGAGAGGATACGGCTCAAAGGTTGGGACAAATATAGGGGCGGCTTGGATGTGAAAGGTACGCTGATGACACGGAATATTGGCAATGCAAACTCGCAAACTCGAGATCTGCAATCAGAAAAGGCCTGCAATCGTCATTCGCCTCTTCAGATTTGTTACACTGGCGGGATTTGAAAATTTTTTTTACTGCCCTTTCTCCAATTTTTCCGCGACTAACGAATTCGTTTGATTACTTTTCATATATTATACTACATATTTTTTACGAATGTAACTGTAATAATACACATACATAAAAATATATATTGAAATGTCGATAAATAACATTGCCGATTGAACAAGCCTTTCTTTCAATTATTTTTCGTAGGCTTCTTGGCTTTCCGTGTGCAACAGTCATGTTACGAATAAACCCGTACTAACCCAGAGAAAATCTCTTCTTTATACCTCCGCGATTCTACTCGTATGTTCCGTCGTTACGTAATAACTTCGTATAGCATAAACTGAGTCGACAAGGCACACAGGGGATA